CTGATAAACCATGAAAGAGTTATGCCCTGGTCAAGGTACAGTTGACTTTTCTGCTGTCCAAAAATAGTAATTTTTGCATCTTGATGATTTTTGAGCTATTCTTGTGGAATCATGATCAAGACTTGATCAAATGATGATTGTGAACTAAAAATGAAATGTTGACCAAGAATTCTGACTTTTGACTGCAAAATGACCATTTTGCCCTTGTAGTTGACTGTAGATCAAATGGAGCTTTTGACTGTGCAAATTGGCACTGTGAGTCTTGAAACTTGGCATGTAGGTGCTTGAGAATGTATATGGGATTATGAGACTTGATTGAACCATTGAAAACCTCAAATTCCTTGAAAGAACCAAAACCCTAATTTCAGCTGTCTTAGGAGGTGATTTGACTGTACAACCCTTGAACAATTTTGAGCCATTTGAAGATTAATCTTGACAAATCTTGAGGAATATGAGAGGGAAAATTTTGGGGTACAACAGTGCTGTTGCTTTTTGTTACATTGCCTCTTGTTGTTTTGGCTTTGCTGCCTGGGATAGCTTTGCTTGTTTTGCTTGCTGGCTTGCTATCTTCCGCGCTGCTTGTTAGCCGTGTGATTTTAGTTTGGGAAGTCTGGTTATTTGCTTTAGCAACAAGAAAACATTTTCAATTTTTCTTTTTCTCCTTTTTGTGAACCAAAGAGAACAACTCTTTTTGTGATTTGCAATTGGGAGAAAATGGCCCATGATTAGAAATAAACCCCTTTTAGTTCTGATTCCGAATGCAAATCCTAATGATGAGCTTTCTTGTTTGGAATTTCTTTTCATATGTTTGATTTGCTAACTTTAATTCTTTTTCTTATTTCATGAACCCGAGGATTGGATGATCGAGGAAAGGTTAAAAGATGAAAAGGCCATAGCTAGCAAGGAGCGAATGAATTTCTTGAAGATGAAGCCAGACATTCAATTCCCTTTTTTTGTTTTTGTTTTGTAAACCGCAATTGTACTTATAATTCCAAGCCTTGTAACTCGTCTAAAAAAAATGTAATGAACACAAGCTTGAATGGATTTATTTTGAATGAATTTTTTGTATGGAAATCAAACAACTCTTGATCTTTGATTGAAAATGGCAATTTCCACTTGAATGATTTGAATGCACCCTTTGAATTTGTAACTTAAACTTCAAGAAATTGTGAGCAATCATTATAACTTGTATTCCAAACAATAATGCGCCTTATCTTTCAAAATCCAATCAAACTCTCAAACAAAATAAATGCTTAAGAATTTAATTCCACTGGTTAATTTGAATCCAAAACACCGGTCACTTGAACTTTGATCTTCATATCATGCCTGAACCACACTTGCACTTCTTGACTAGAACTTTAACTTTGACATTCACATCGCGAGTAACTTGCAACTTAAGTAACCAAAAACATGTCTTGATCATCATGAAACCTCAACCTCATTTCTTGTGCCCAAACTCCACATTTGTCAATCCAAACTTCAAATTCTCGACTTCATGGCTTGGAGACTTTAAGAAGAAACTTGAAATGCGAGGAGGTGAGATTTTTGACCTAATGCACTGAGCTTTGTGCCATCTTCGAGGCAGACGAGAGAAACATCTTCCCAGAAACCAAAGACCCGAAACCCTAACATCTTGACCAACACACGTAGGGAAATAAACCCTAATCCAGGCTTTGATAAATTTGAGCGAGAAGCAACCTTGTAACATGACGACACAATTCATTCCACGATCCATTAATCGAGAACCAGAAGAATTCCCCTACACCTGATAAGAAAACTTTAAAACAAAATTAGACATAAAGAGGGCGCAACGCTAATACTTCAAACCAAAGCGCCTGATTCCCTGAGATGCGGGATATGCAAATGACTGAGTAATAAAATGATGCAAATGGAATGCAAAGTTCAAAGCTAGACAAAAAGTAAAAGAGATAGGGAAAATTTGGGGTACGACACCAGAAAGATAAGAGTCAGAGGAATTAACATCCATACCAGAAAATAGTAAAGGAGAAAGGTATAGCAGAAATTGAATACCTTTTGTGAAGGGTTCACAGAAGGGTCTCCCCCCTTGGTGCTTTCAGCAACCTTTTTGTGTTGGTCCTCTTGACAGCTATACAAGAAACAAATATAAGTTGGATGTCGAATGATTGAATCTAAGGCAAAGAGACAAAAAGAAAGAAAATATTACCTTTCTTGATCTTGTTAAAGACCAGCTTGAACGCCTCACGAAGATGGTGGGCGAAATCCTTCTCGTCGAAGAATTCTTCGTTGTAATATTTGCTCCACCACCCCTAAAAAATGGGCGAACACATAAAACTAAGGTTAAAGTCGAACAAAGTTAGTACGGTTCGACCAACGTACCTACCAATATTCTTGGTAGTGGCATCCTCTGAGTAATTTGCATTATAAAACAATAGCAACTTCTCTCGAGAGTAGATGGGAGACGGAAGTGACTGAACAATACCGAATTTTCGAGAGACAAGATTCGGTTGGTAAGCAATCAAACTCAGTTGATTCTTCAAACTCTTAAATCTTAGCGGCATGATTCTGGGTCGAAGAAACGACTCCCAAATAGCCACATATTCGTCCTCTAAGTCCTCCTCATCAACCGAAGGAAATGGTCGAGTGAACCATTATGGTCCAACTTTTCAACTAGCGAAGGGAGCCATGGTCGGAAAAAAATTTTGGCGCTCTGCAAACATTATCACAAAGCTGGTGAAGGCCTTTTGGAATTGCTGACCCTCATCAGTCGGAGTCAACAAAACTAGCCTGGTACCTTCGACCCTCTTGTTCAGAATTTTTGGGGCCTCTTCGTTTATCTTATTCTTTTGAGGAAGAAAAGATTCGAAAGTGGCATTGAGCCAGAGTTGAAGAAGCCAAAAGGGACCAGAAAGGAGCAAGCTTGCCCTGTCTTCGATGACTTTGAGTTGAGTCACACCATTGCTGATGGACTCATACAGATTGGCCAAAATCAACTCAGCCAAGCAGAGAGGGTAGCCATGATGAAGCTGTGTTGCAAGCGTAAGCATCTTCTTAGTCACTCGAAGTGACTTAGTACAGAAGACGAATCGAGACAGCCACATAGCTAAGAAAGCTATATGTTCCACCTCCGACATAGTGCTGCAAGATTTATCATGAAAATGGTTGATGAATGTGGTATATGTGGGCTTCGTAGCTAAAAACCCAATGGCATCCTCAGATAAATCTTCTGGGTCGAAGTAGTCACCAGTTGGTCGAAGACTAGTGATTGCTGCTATGTCGAAGAGGGTTGGGGTCATCATTCCACAAGGAAGATGAAACGTGAAATGGGCGCTGTCCCAGAAGTATAACAAAGACACTAACATGAGAGGACAATAAGATAACCCTGTCTTTGACTGCATCACCAAGTCATAGATCCCCATTTATTTCCAAACTGGGGTTTGTAACTTCTCCATTTTATTCAGCCAGTCTGAATATTATGAAGAAAGACTAGGGCACGATCGAAAGATCTTGTTCCCTTTGTTCATGAACTGAAGATTCATATCTTCCTTTGTTTGAGAATGTTGTTGGTTAGCTGGAGTCGCATCCTCAAGATTATTCCTGGGTTTCTTCGCACAGCCTATAGGCTTAAGCCTAGGATGAGTGGGGAAGAAAGCACAATTTTTCGTGGGATTCTCGACGCATGCAGATAAAGGGTCAGACATGGCATATATATTCTAAGAATACCTAATAGGGATGAGGAGCTGAGAGTTGTACGCCTCACGCCTTTCTTTGGTCATAGGTTCGAAGACGAACCTTAGCCCTTCAATCGAAGCAGGAGAAGAACTTGTGGGAAAGATCTCTGGTTGACGCTGTACGTCAAAAACATTTTTGGGCTTAGGGTTGTTTGGAGCATTGGATAGGAAAGCCATTGTTATGAGTTGTTGAAAAGCGAAGATGATAGAGTCACTACGGTGTAAGGTGTTTTTCTGAAGAAGAGATGAAAATGCTAAGTGGTGTGAACGTTCCAAAAGAGAGAACTCAAGGCTATTTATAATGTCCAGGGGGAAGGGTTTCTCGCCAAAGCCATTTAATGCTCTAAACATAGTGGGGCACGTGGTAAGCGATAAAGCAGTTACCGTGCAGGTGATGGGGAACGTTTGACATGCTCGCCTAGGTTCCAGGAGTAATGGTCATCATGGCAGCATGGTAACGGCTGATTGAAAAGACGTCTTGGGAAAAGGGTAATAATGGTTCTAAACGTGGCAGTTGTTGGAAGGCGAAAAGTACGCGTTAAGCCTTTGTGGACAAAAGAGACAGGTGTCGAATAGAGATATCAAAGAATGACTATTTCTCTCGACGTCGAAATAGACATTCTTGGGGGAAAATTTGTTGGCTCTTGAATTCGACACCCACGATATATTGGCCTTATGGGCCAAAAATAGAGAAAATAAAGCCAAGCTGGAAAATGCTTCGACGGATGGAGAAACTTAGAGAAGATATCTGAGTTACAAATTGGTCTTTGACCATACATCACCATTAAACGTTCGACTGGAAAGGTTCTGTGACCTTCGACTAGAAGAACAAACCCTAGTATCAGCACCAAGGACGAAGGATATTTGAATTTGAAGATTGGAGGGAAATGCAGTTCTCCAGCAGTTACGGGAAAGCGACGTGGCAGGAAGATGGAGGTTGAGGGACATGCAAAAGACACTTTTCTTCATCCTAGAGCAAAGCAACCCCTCGACGGTTACATGATTTTAGTATAAAAATAGGAAGTTTGTGTAGATTTTTTCCGTGTGTGTTCAACCTATTGTGCTAGTTACTCAACATTATTCAAGTACCCGCTGTGTGTGAAATAATAACTGAGAATGTACGTTGGAAACACCACCTTTTTTCAATAAAGTCTTTTACATTGCTTTGATCTTCTTTTGCAAAGTTTACGTTTCTTGCATTTTTTCCGCGCTTCTATTTGCTTTCCAAAAAAACCAAAAATACCACATCCCTGATCGAACGTGCGTTCTTCCTAGATATTGACTTTTACATCAAACCAGCATAAAATTAGCATATGTTCTGGGATCAATCTGATCGATTCCCACGAGTAACCAAAAGGACTTTCCCTTTTGGAGGATCAGCAGTTGTTTATCAAAAACCACGGTAAACACATTGCTGTAGAAACTACCATGCTCCAATGCAGGTATTGGCAGTGTTGTAGCTTCACATTCTATATCGCAAGTATTTAATTCAGAAGACAATAATTTCCTTTCAATTAGCAATGAACACTGAGAACCTGAACTATTGCAACTTTCAGCAAGTTTGTCAACAGTCTCTCCTTCAACGTTCCCAGTAGAAGTGTTCTCCTTAGTAAGTATATTAAGAGAACAACTAATGCTTGAATTTGAAGCAAGGGTGTTATTACCAATTGAATCGTCATGTTTGACATTTTGAATAGTAGAACTATCAAAAGACCTATCGCATATTGACACCTCACGTTTAGAAATAACAGTGGCAAAGGCAGCATGTATAATACATGTACAATGTTCCAATATCCTTGACTGCATCTTCGTCATTATTGATAACTTCCAAAACCATGTGAGGCAATGCTTGTGCAACATCTTGGTAAGCTTGATCTGTCAATTTGCAAGACGACAACCAAAGGAACCTCATGTTATAGCAATGATGTAAACCTGATCGCAAAGTTCCATCCTCGAATGGACTGTCCCTGATTTTAAGTTTCTATAAATTAGGCATCCTTCGAGTACATACTCGAGGCCTGTGTCGGTGTCTTTTGCAAAGGTAACTGATAGTGTCCTGGTCAATTTCCCATATCTTCCAATGTATTTAAACGCGATCAGCTAGCATACCAGATACAGCAAGTCGGGTGAGCTTCTTGCAGTTCATAATAGTAGCACCAAAACCCTCATCCACGGGTTCTTGTGTCACAGTATCAGGGAAGATATACCCCAATTATACAAAGAAAAAACACCACAAGATTTGGACAGTTCTTCAAAATTGCAACCACAGTTGTGTTCGTCATCGTTATCGTCTAACATTGCAACCCTGTGAAATGGCTTCGAAACCAACCTGAGAAACATGACCTCCAGTTTCATCCCTCGCATCCACAGGAAAAAGTTGAAGCTCATGCAAGTCATTGCAAGTTGCAGCCACTTCCAGAAGGCCTTCAAGGTGGAAACTTAGGGAGCAAGTGCGTTGAGAGCGTACGCAGCAGCAGCACCAACAACGCCCAAAGAAACATGGCCTCCAACTGCTGCATTTTGACTTCCACCAAAATTGAAATTGAGACAAACTCAGCAGCCACAATGCCAGCAATAACAACAGCAGGTGTAGCAAGGAGGAGTGGCGATGATAGCTTGTCTACATTGTGAAACATATACTATTGGTTAAGGTTTTCAATAGCATATACAACTGAATTTATTAAGATAATCAAGTAACCAAAATAAACTATCGCAAACGAAATGCCTTGGCAAAGCTCCATGTTTCGAAACAATAATATTTACAACCAACATAATCTAAAGTTGAAAGTATTACCAAAGTCAAAACACTGAAACTTGAGCCACACAGAAATCTCATAAAGTATAGATTAAAACATTTAAAAAGAGGTGCGGATCCTTTTCACCTCTGGTTGGTAATTGATGCCCAACACCACTCTAGTACCTCTAGTATGCAAGCATTGAATTACTCGTTGACGCTCCAGTTCTAAACTAATTGGGGTGCCATCTTTTATGTCTTATATAAAACTCCTGGAATAAAAACAATTTTAATATCATTAATCATTAATAAGGTACATAACCAAGCTATAAACTAAAAAACAACCCATCATGATGTCTGATAAAGTAATTACCATGTATGCTTGGTCAATCCTTGTATTGGTTGTTGCATGAAACACAACATACTCCATGTCTGTCAAATTGCACACAACATAAAACAATAATTTGGTGCAATCCTTGCACTAAACATTAACAACTGAATAACTCTTTTTCGCCCAATTTTGCACAGTCACCGACAGTGTTTCTGAAGCAAACTTGAAAATTAGACTCCTCTGATAATCACGATCAACAAACATCATTTGGTGGAGCCTTCTTTCAGGGTGTATAACAAAGTTAGAAATAGATGTTTTTGCACTCCTAAGATCACTATCTCCTTGTAAAACATATTGTAGCGATAAAAAATGTAGCGGGATAAATCGGAGATCGAGCTATTAATTAACTCGTCTCACAAAAGCAAGAGTCGCCACTGCGCTTTATTATTTCCAAGGGAAAAGGGAAAAGAGCAAAATAAAACCCTAAAATATGCAATGTAAAATAATACTTAAAAGTAATGAAAATACAATGCGTTTTGAAAAGAGATCTAGAGTTTGGGGGTTGGTTATACAATGGGAAGGTATTAGCACCCAATGCATCTATAGTATCATATAGGAACCTTTTGAAATATATGTTTATTAAAATTGTTTGTTTGATTAAAAATAGCTTGTTTGGCCAAAAATGGGTATGAACGAGATTTTGAAGATACGACGACCTAACGTCGAAGTTTTGACTTAAAAGGTGTGAGTTTGAAAATTGAATCTTTGGGAAAATTATCTTAAGTTTTAACAAAATAGTAAACAAACAAAAGATGAACGAAGGTATTCGCACGATTGGATGAGATGTGTTTGATAACATGAAGTCAACAAAGTTAAAACATTTCCCTTGGATTTGAGACGGACGAAAGATATAAAGATTAACGATCGATGACAAAATTAATTAAGATGACAATTGAACAAATAAATAATGAAAATTAAATTATATTAGCATGCATTTTAACGATAAAATAAATAACCAAAAGTACATAAAGATTAAATTACAAAATCATGGATTTTTAATAATTAAACAAATAACAAGAATTAATTTATGAAACGTTTACATTTTTGAATAATTAAATAATAAAAGGTTAATAACAAAAATTAAATAAAGATTAGATTATAAAAGCATGTTTTTTATGTGTTTTTTAACTAATAATTATAACCTAAACTATATGTAATTAAGTTTCGAAGGAATTGAAAAAAAGAGAAATGCAAAAGAGCAAAAAAGAAAACGTCCCCACCAAGGATCGAACTCAGTTTCTTTAGATTACAGCTCTTTGGCCCAACCATTAATCCATTAACGTCTTTCTGTTATATCTACATCTCAATTATATTAAAAGGAAAAAACTTAAAATTAAACTGGACCAAACAGGCCCAATGGGCCAACCGGGTTTATTGATAAAAAGAGGGAAAGAAGTGTTCATGAAACCCTAAAAAACTAAGAGGCGTCGCGGCGATATGGCATTGGAAAGAAGAAGAAAAAAACAAAAGCCTACTGTTGTTAATCAAACAAAAAATTACAGGAACAAGTTAAAAAAACAGAAAGAGGCGATTCTCTCTCTAGTACATCAATGTCCTCCTTCCACTTCTTAGCCTGTAAAACAACAACCACATAACCCTTCCTCCTCTCTGCATCACGATAACAAAGTTTTCGGAAGCGGCTTCCACCATTTTTTCACGGAGGAGAGCACCACCGCGGCCTTTGACGAGGTTGAGATAAGGATCAACTTCGTCCGCACCGTCGATAGCGAGATCGAGGCGTGGATTATGGTCGAGGACGGATAAAGGAATATTGAGAGATCGTGCCTGTTCTTCTATGCGTTTGGAGGTTGGAACACCGATGATGATGAAGGATGATATTGGGAGCTTGACGAATCCGTTTTGCAAAGCTGGGAATTTATGAGGTTTACACATATATTCTATAGGTCCTGTTAGTGGTATTTTAACAGGCTAGAGTTTTTGTTTAATCAGAGTTTGAGCAATTTTCTCAGAGAAAACTTATTAGCAGGTTATGCAGGTTCTAAGGTTTTAGTAACAGGTTCTATGGTTAACAAGTTCTATGTTTTTAACAGGTTCTATGATTAACAGGTTTTATGGTTAACATCAGGTTCTATTGTTAACAGGTTTTATGTTTTTAACAGGTTATATGATTAACAGGTTTTATGGTTAACAACAGGTTCTATTGTTAACAGGTTTTATGTTTTTAACAGGTTCTACGATTAACATGTTTTATGGTTAACAGCAGGTTCTATTGTTAACAGGTTTTATGTTTTTAACAGGTTTTCTGATTATGTTGTAGGGAGAGATTACAGACAACTTTTTCAGGGTTACAGTTTGACAAGGTAGAGGTTGAAAGTTGTTCACGGCAACGGATCCGGTTGATTCACGCTTTCAAAAGGTAGTTTCGTTTGCAGTTAGAGGGAAGCTAAAGTAAACATGAAGCTGAGCTTGTGATAAGGTGCTTTCTTCTCCTTGATTCAATTGAAGCTAATGTTAAAACTAGTTAGTACATAACTAATCTTAAGATTATCCACATGTGCTCTCTAACGTATAATCTTTTCAATGCAGTGCTAGGAAACTTTGTGTCGACTTTCAACAAGTAAATTACAGACCAAAATTGATTGGGTAATGTTAATTAATTAATAAGTTATGTTATTCTAACAGGTTTGAAACTAATCTTAAGGATTAATACTATTATTTGTTGGTTTTAACAGATTATGCGTATATAAATGATCTAAGCATGAAAATGATTAGCTATGCAAATGAATTTGGCAGGCATGGATGTATATGTGGAGAAAGCTTGCAGAAAATAATGGGAAGAAGAATACCTATCGGAGTCTCTCCGATGGAGCTTCAAAAAAAAAATAGTAAGTTCTCTCAACTTTAATCTTCTATGTGTGTTTTCTGCTCTTCTCTTGCTGTGACTTTTGAACAAAAAGCTCTCTTTCTATTTCTTCACCCTTGCTGAATTTTTTGGAACAAAAGCTCTCCTTCTATATTTTCACTCTTGCTGAATTTTTTTGAACAAAAGCTCTCCTTCTATATTTTCACTCTTGCTGAATTTTTGGATTCCCTTCTTGTGTTGATGAAAGCCTCTATTTATAGTGAAATGTGTGGGGTTTTAAGGGGGAAAAACAGTAGAAGTTTGAACTATTCTAGGCCCTGTTTTGATGTTTTATGGGATAGCTTTTTGAAGTATCCATTTTAGTGCAATATTTAGAGCTTTGCAAACTGTTTTTGTAGCAGCAAAATGTGCAGATTTTTGTTTTATGGGCTGCATTCTGGACTATTTTGCAGGGCAGATTTGGACAGCAGCTTGGCATGGTCTTTGTTGAAACAAGGTTAGAGAAAATGGACAGCACTACACTCAAAAAAATAGACCGTTATGGATTAATATAGTGCTGAAAAAATGGGCAGCATTGGGACTATTTTGTAGCAAGAATAATAGTTTGATTTTCATGTACAAAACTTGTATTTTATTTTGTAACTTCGTAACAATAAGTCCAAATAAATTGTAACATGAATAAACATGTATTCTTCAATATATCATCAATTCCTTTTGTAATTATAAATAACCTTGAATCTTCATATGAACATGAATCTTGATATGTCTTGATAAAAATTCAAGGCCTTCCATTTGAATTGGGAAAGAGTTGAACAAAACTTGAATAAATTGTTGAATGATGAATAAATAATAATGCAAGTCTTAGACTTTAATCTTGCATTTTTGTAATAGAGATCCAAATAAATCACATGAATTAATTTTGTAATCAAATAGAATTCTTCATGTAATTATTCTTGTGATGACCGATTAATTGGATCAAATTCCTTTTTCCAATAGCTTCTTGAATAAATGCTTCATGTAAGTCCACCAAAATAATCACAAAAATAATCTTGAATAAATATTTCATGCGATAAATGATTATTCTTGGATGAGATCTCTTGGTAGCTCCTCTTTAATTATCAATTGAATTCAAATAAAGAAAAATTCCAAAAATTCCGAATAAATTCTTCTAGAATGGTTTTGAATTTAATCATCCCATTTTTGGTGAAATTCACCCCCGCGTCATGAGAAAATTTGCAGATAACTTTTGGTCGAAGTGATCGAACATGACTGGCATAACTTGGTTTTCTTGTATTTTAGAATAATGTGTAACACATATGAACCAAAGATAGTAGAACTTCGACTGTTCTTTCTAAGAAATATTCGGAGAAACTAGAGACCATCTGTTGGACAGAGTGTGGAAATAAATGCACGATTCTCTGAAATTCTTTTGATGAATCAGCTTTTGAGAATCGACGATCGATCGCATTTCTGTCCCGAGACTCGAAACCCTAATCGATGTACAACGTCTGATGCTCTTCTTTCAGACCTATTTCCTGCACATGAAAACAAAATAACAAAGCATACACTCCGTGCTTGATTAATAGTTAGTCATTCATAAGATAAAATGCTCACAACACTCGATAATCTCTACACAGTCAAAGCTCGAAGGTGAAACGTTCGAAATCGACCATATTTCGCGACCTTGATGTATATATATGAAATAATGCAAATAAAGATAGGATCTTAGGTCAAAAATTGGGGTATAACACATATCTAAAAAACGTACTTCGAACCGATTAATTTTCTGAGAATCTTCAACATAGGTCCCAGAGGCTCAATCCTTAACATAAATTAAAGAAGCAGTCCAGCCATTGTGTGTCCAAACTTTAGCCTCGACCACATCACATTGAAACTCAGCCAATACTGCAAACACTTCAGAAATAAGACCAACACGATTCGTCCCCTTTAATTCCAATGCAATGAGACCATTTCTATGATTGGTTTTTCCATTATGAATGCTACAAAGTGACTAATACAACATAACATAAAATTTCAGATTAACATAATTAAAAATATATAATTACTTCTAAAGAAACAATTAATAGTAAATTATTAAAATATATGTTCGATATACTTCAAAACACTCTCATCTGTTAACTTATTTCCATCTTGATCTGTAACATGGAAAACTGATCATTGAACCAAAATAAATAAATTAGGACAAAGAGAATCAAAATTATCACAACAAAGAACTTGATTAAAAAATTATCTTACCATCCATGAACCATCTTCCATCAGAGGAAACATATGTTTTCTTAATAAAAATGTTTAGATAGCTGAGAATCTGTACCGCTTCCAAAATAATTCCATGCTTTCTAGCACTATCATGCTGTGAAACTTAACCAATTGCAAGTATTGTCCTTCCTTTATCTCTATAGTTATGCACATGTATTTGCTTTGAATTCTTCAGGAAGAAAATAGCAATTAGAAAGAGAAATTAGTCAAAGTCCAATAGATCCATGTTTAACTATAAATGACAAATAAAATTACCTTGTTGTAGAGTGGACCCTTTGAGTATAATTGATGAATTTGTCCAATTTCCCTTCTAATTCAGTGGCAAGCCCTTAATATGTAGCACCTGTGAAGTGTTCTTGAAATACATATAATGATTATGTATATATGCTTTGATGCTTCTTGGAAGAGTACCTACAACATTGAGGAAACAGAAAGTCACATAGAGGTTTCAATGAAGAATTTTATCAAACACTTGGTGGGTATAATTCTTTTTTTATCATTTCACACACATCAATCATTTTGAAAACCAACCACTAATCAAATCATATTTATTGGAAATCGCAACTTAATTATTAGTAAAATGAAAACAGCCTACAGAGAAAAATATTTACATAACTTACTCAATCTTTAGACAACTTATTCATGGTCTCTGAAAAACAAATCGTAGGTGTCCCTGAAAACGTTAATAAATCGACGTAAACATCTTATACATGAGAAAATGAAAACAGCCTACAGAGAAAAATATTTACATAACTTAATCTTTAGACAACTCATTCATGGCCTCTGAAAAGTAAATCGTAGGTGTCCCTGAAAAAGTCAATAAATCTCCATAAACATCTTATATAGGAGATAAAAAATCAATACTCACCAAAATATTGAAGTTTCAAAAATACCTTTCAGACTCGGAATAATCACTGACACCGACGAAAAATCCATCACCGAAAAACATAACAATCATCGTTTGAGTTTTAGCTCCGACCACCATCACCCCACAAAAACATAGATCCGCCACATTTGTAGGATGACTTTGATCGATTTGTAGGAATATGACCGATTTCGGATTGTTGAGAATGGTGGAGATGGAGAATGGACGGGTCAAGAAGATTGGATTGATTTGAGAGTTTGATTTTGTATGGTGGTTAAAGACAGTTGGATTCGTTTGTGGAGTCTTTGAATCATTTCCTTGAATCATGAATATGGAAGGTAAGAGTAGAATCATCAGGTTTATAGGTTGAGATTTGTTGATAGAAAGGTAATTGATGAAAAGGTGAGAAAGATTCATACATTTGTGTAGATGACATAGGCATGGCGATAGAACTATCCATTTTGAAACAGACCATTAACCATGAAAGGTTGTAACCGCTGGTAGTGAAAGTGTGGAATGGAAAAAAAATAAGATCGTAACCGCCATGAGAATATAGAGGAAGATTGTAGTGGAAGATTGGAGGTGGAAAGAATAAATGATGAACAATTGAAAAAAAAAACAATTGAGGTGAGACATTCACGGTGCGAATTATGGAAAAAGCATGAGTGATTTTTCTTATATGCTTAACTCTCATAAAGTCAGGTGTCGCGATTTTGGAACAAAAGGACAAAATATGATTTTTGGGTAGAATGAGTTTTCTTATATTATAGATTTTGAAACATCTACTAATTTTAATGAATTTACTTCTCTTTCGAATTTTGAAGTCTAGAAGATATTTTACAAAAAAAAGTTTTTAATTTGTAAAACAAAGAATATTTTGGAATATCAAGCATTTCAGGGGTATAGATATAGAGAGAAAATTTCAAAGCAAGAAGGCACCATTAATGAAACAGACACAAAGTAGTTGATAACCCAATATAATGAGAATTTAACATGCCACCCTCAAAGTTATATTTGGCACCCACTCAATTTTTTTATTTCATTTTTATTCTAGGATGAGTTGAACATAATTTCCAGACAAAATTTCTAGTAGAAGGATTGAAACTTCTGGTACCACCTGTAGTGGTAGAAATGTTGAGACTAAGCCATTGGATTGACTTGACTCACACATATCAAATAAAAACCCTCATCGTGCTTTATTGTTTCTAGAGGAATGAGAAAAGAGCGAACAACCCAAAAAAAGAGGGGGAGAGAATCTAGGTACGAGGGTTGGTTATGCAAAGGGAAGGTATTAGCACCCTAAACATCCACGGTACTCCGCATGAACCTCTTTGAAAATTTGTGTATTTTAGCTATAAATGTTGTATATAAAATTAGATGGTGGAGATGAGAAAAGAAGTATTTTTTTTACAAATTTGTGCACCCGCCGCGGTTACGAACCTTTAGTGCCTACATATCACCTTCCGTGTAATAGGGGATCACGATACTCGTAGTTCTCCTTTAAAAATTTTAAAACACAAGTGTGTTGGTTAAATTTAAGAGACGAGACATCATCGTCATCTCCGAGTGGAAGAACTTACTTACTACCCACGATCATGAGAAAAGAGAATTTGCGTCATCTAAAAGTGGAGGATATAGCTTGGATTTTAAAATCAACAAAGCCTCACTCAACACCAAAGTTGAAAATATCCCACTTCACTACATATCGTAGAAGTATAGTAGCTCATATCACTACAAAGATTGACAAGAATCTAATCTTTTGAGAAAATTTTAAAGTAAAAAGCCAAAGTGGAAAGTCAATCAATCATAAAAACACATTTATAAAACCATACAAATCAAAGTGCTTGGTGATCTCCTATGAATAAACCTAAAGATAGAAAGAAGAACCAAATCCTAGTGTGTGTGATTTTGATATGATTGGCTTGATATTGAAATGATGAGAGATCTTAGGAACAAAAATTGGGGTATAACACCACCCAAATTTCTGGTACACCCCTGCAAAATTTCTGGTACCATAAATTTTTGATAGTGTATATACAATTTTCGGTATACCCGAAATTTAAATTAATTTTAAATTTCCGGTAGTATTAAAAATATGGTTTTTTGAACGGCTGAGATTTTGCCGACATATTTGGATGGTTCTGAATGCACTGACACATTTGTGTGGTCTAGAATGTATCACCATTTATATAAATAGAGGTATCTGTTATAGAGAAAATACATCTAAAAAAATGTCTCTTCCTCGATTTCTGATTAAGGCAGAAGTCTATTACAACGACTTCAACCCTCCTGTTGAATTCAAGCTTCTAGATGGCTCAAAATCCTTTTCCACCTTGAAAGAAACATTGAATAATTTGTTGCCTGATTCTGATAACAAAAGGGTGACAAAGGTAGAGTTTTAAGAGGATTGGATTGATACAAATGGAAGGGTGAAATACAACCTAATCGAGTGGAAGAATGATGAAGATGTGAAGGCCATGTGGAAATTATTCCGCCGTAGGATAACTAAAGGTCTGATTGAGTTGGATGCGCAGATCTGAAGATCTGTCGACGATATAATGAAGTGTCTGAAACATCCATAATCTTCCGGAAGTGTCTAGCTAGGTTTTCTTGTTTTGTTGTTTTTGGTTTATGTTTGTTGTACTGTTCTAGGTTTTCACCAAAAAAATATGAAATAAATAAGATGTTTGTTTTCCATAAAATATATGTATTATACAACCAAAATAAAATCGATCTACATAGGCCCTCCACGGGATACATCAACTAACCTAGTTAAACCTCTATAGGTCTCATCATGTATTTTTACCAAACCCATGAGATTGTCAGCATGAACGACAATAAAATGGAGTCGGTTGTCCTGATCTCCTGTAGGTGGTGGTGGTGGCTCAGTAGATGGGCTAGCACCAGAAGGCCCCAGGACATCAGCTGTTGCAGCCGGTGGTATGACCCGAAGATGTGACACACTGTGAAACCACTCCATGTATCCATCCTCACACTGTCTAGGATGTTGAACCTTGAAGACTGTATCCATGATCTCACAAGGGAGGTGAGGATGTGACTCTGAAACCATCTATCAATCCCACCAGATGGAGACTCTGGAACTGGACGAGGGATGTCTTTTACATAACCATACTGGCATAGACACCTCTCAGGAATGTGTCTAGCCTCATGGATCTCCCATCTAATATACCCTGAATATAAAGTAGATACCTCAAATTGAAGATGAGGGCGGTGAGATGTATAGGGTTCCCAGACAACATCATCCAAGGTGGAAGGATGTTGTCTCCAGGTGTCACCTCTCAACAAAAGTTGATAAAAGGGAGGCGTCCAACATGGTCAAGGAACAACCAGCAAACTCCAGGAGGTGGAACTCGCTAACGATCCTCCTCACCTCCTCAACTCCTCAGGCATAGGACTCTCAGGGAAGTTCTTCAAGTTCGACCCATGAGAAGCGACCTTCAACACCAGACGCTTTTGTAAGAAGCAAAAATAAATTATTATACATCACATGCTGTAAGAAAAAATAAAAATTATGCAATTAAACGAAGCCAAAATTATATACCTCGACTTCCCATATCCTATACGCGACATGGTCCGTAAATCCTGTCAACACTGACCTGTTTGAAGGTTCTCCAAGGAATCCTCCATCAATGTGTACTGATGGCTCTGTAGATGCACAAATAATGGTATTTGTATCAGCGGTGGACACCTCATTAAATCGCTCAGCAACAACTTCCTGCTCAGGCTCATTCACCACATGGTCCACAATAGGAGCAAGAGTATGTACATCCTCAACAGGAGCAGGAGCTTGCACCTCCTCAGTGGATACTCTATGACCCCGATAACAGGGTGCACGGAACTTCACATTTTGCTCAGCCATCAGTTTTCGGTGAGAACCGGACAGAGGATGACGTCCATCTCGTAGCTCTGAAGCACGTGCCTCGTCAGCACGGGCTTCAACATCAGCTATGTCAGTGGTCTGTCCCGCAATGGAACCATCTCTGCCTCTGATCCTCACTGCAAAATAAGAAAATATCAGGAAAATATAAAATACCAGAAATTTCTAAATTTTTGATAATTCTTCAAACAAAATTGAACAACGGGAAATTTCAAAATTTCCGGTACTGTGTGACGCATCGAAAATTTCAAAATTTCTGGTATAAATGATAAATGAAAATACCGAATATTTCGAAATTTCCGGTACGAAAATACCAGATATTTTAAATTTTTTGATACAAAGTACCGAAAATTCCACAAAAATACCGTAAATTCTTACTATTTAATGAAATTCCCAGTAGCGCCTTCGAAATTTCCGGTATCGCCCACAAATTTGAAAAATCTGGTTGTTCACGAGAATTTGAAATATGTGGTGAATGATTTGAGTCTGGACAATTTGGTGTTTTCATACCCGTTGGGGAGGTGCCATCTATAATATGAGGGGTGTCAAGTTCATTTCTCCAATACAACTGATGGATTACATTTTGAGAATTATACTTGACACCCTTAAAATTGTACACGACACCTCTTCATAATGTATAATTTTATCAAAATAAATTTAATAAAAATGTTTGAATTTTTGAAAAAAAAACTCGGGTTTTTTAGAATTTTGGGAATTATACTTGGCACCCTTAAAATTATACATGACACCTCTTCACAATGTATAATTTTATCAAAATAAATTTAATAAAAATGTTTGAATTTTTGAAAGAAAAAAAACTCGGTTTTTTAGAATTTTTACGAAATTCTAGATTTTTGGATTTTTTTCTTAAATTTTTCCTCGATTTTTAAATATTTGTACTTCAAAAAACAATAGTTTTTACATTTATTTTTTAAAAATAGGTGTAAAATCATGATTTATTTAAAAAAAATCCGACTTCATACCAATTTTTTCAAAAACCTAGTATAAATTCATATTTTGAAAAAAAATTCAGGTTATTTAGAATTTTTATGAAATTTTAGATTTTTGGATTTTTTTTTCTTGAATTTTTCCTCCATTTTTGAATATTTGTACTTAAAAAAAACAGTAATTTTTACGTATATTTATTACATCTATTTTTAAAAAACAGGTGTAAGATTATGATTTATTTAAAAAAAATCTAACTTTATACCAAAATTTTCAAAAATTCAGTATAAATTCATATTTTTTATGCTGGATTTTTCAAATATCTGGTATAAAATCTTAGATATTTGAAACACAAAATGATGATTTTATTTCGGTTTTTGAAACACAAATTTATGATTTTATTTGGTTTTTTTTCTTTCAAATATTCGAAAATTTAAAACCATAATAGATTTATCAAAAAAATTGGTAGTGTTAAATTCGTTTCTTTACTGTCTTATGGAATAAGAGTTATTGAATTTATGAAAAATCCAAAAAATTTCCAATATCGTTTTTCATAAATCTATCCAATATGAACTATAGATTTTTTACAAAATCCAAAAATTAACATGATTTTCCATTATTTTTAAAAGATCCAGTAAAAATGCATACCAAAATTTTCACTTGCGCTACCAGATTTTTTTTGTGCGAGAGAAAAGATTTTTCAGCATTTGTTTAGTGAAAAAATGAGAGGAGCATTTTACTCAATCTGAAAAAATGGGGTAGTGCGAGATATAATTAAGAGGGTGACAAGTTAAATTCTCTTAGATTTTATGAGCCAAGCCCACTCCCATATGTAAAACTTTTAGCCTTTCAGGAAGGAAATTTGTATTTTCACCCTTTAGGGTGTGGCTTACACTTCTGAAAACCTACAATTGTTCTCAAGTGTTTTGGGAGATACATCTCCGGACATACCTTAAATTACCTCATCGTTTATTCGAAGATGCATCTCTGAAAACACCACTGACACTATAATAAATAATACATTCATGAAAACACTTTCATCTAAGCCATTAAAAAATTGAGGTCAAATAATAGAAAACGCGCCATTCAATGACAAAACTTAATCTTTTGCCTCGGTTTTCCCTAAACCGGCATAAAAAGTTGCTCATAGTTTGAGCTTCGATTCCCAACTCCTGTTAGAACCAAAAAGGCGTATTTAATTTTTATATATTTTATGTTGGATATGTTCCCTCGGGTTTTTATAAAACCGAGATAATAACTCTCTAAATTTTTTATTCATTTAGAACAAAAAATACGCCTTTATTTTTGTAGAATTAACGTCAGATATGTTTTCTTGGTTTTCAATAAAACCATATAAAAAATTATATAAATTTTGTATTCTTTCAGAGTTAATGTTAAGTCTCATTTCACTTTTTGAGCCTTAGCTAACGAAAGAACACCATTATTCTCCAGCCAACGAAAGAACACCATTCTTCTCCGGCGAACGAAAGAACATCATTATTCTCCAAGGAGGGAGGAAGCTCAAACCAACACTTTTTTTTAGTCTCTCATATCACATTTTCGGTATGTACAAATTACCCATTACTATTGTTGTTTGTTTTTTGTTGTTGTTGTTGTTGTTGTTGTTGTTTCTGTCATTGATGTTGTTGTTGTTGTTGTCGTCATTGTTGTTATTATTATGGTTTTTGAGACTTATATGGTTTAATGTATTGTTGTTGTTCAGGTATTTTAGCTATTTTTGTGTTATTGAGATTGAATGTTCATTTTTGTTAGTTGTTGTTATACCCCAATTTTTGACCTAAGATCCCATTTTCATTTTCATTTTATACAAAAAATCAAGGTCACGAAATACGGTCGATTTTAACCTCTCATCTTCGAGCATTTCCTATGCAGAGATTGTCAAGTGTTTTGAATATTTTTAGCCTACATATCACTAACTTCTAATCGCATACAAAGGTGTATGTTCGTGTTTTCTTTTGTTTCATGTGCAGAGACAGGTCTGAATCAAGAGCATCAGGCATTGCACCTCAATTAGGGTTTTGAGCCTCCCAAACCAGAAGTACGATTGATTATGGATTCTCAAAGACGGATTCATCAAGGCACAACCTCTAATCTCAGAGCATAGAGTCTCAGACATCGTTCAATCTCATTTTTTATCAAAGATGTCTTATGGAACTTCAAAGGACCATGTGTTTATTTCCACGCCTTGTTCGACAAATGGCCTTAAGCTTCTCTGAAATTCTTCAAAAAAATAGTCAAGGTTCCATGACCACTGGTTCACGTGTGTTTCACCTTACCTTGAAATACGAGAAAAGATCAGGCTATGCAAGTTAATTCAAAGCACTTCAACCAAAAGTCATCTACAAGTTTTTTTAAAAGTTGAAGACAAATTGTGTTGAGAAATCCATGAAAAGACTTTATAGGATATTTTTCATGATATAAGAGTTTCTTGATCTCTAAGTATTCTCAATGTGATAACACTTCTCCTCAAATCCCTCTTCTAGTGATCATTCGAAGCTTTTAGGTATGATTCGATTTCTTATATTTACATGACGCATGGTGAATTTCGTTAGAGTGGGGTGATTGAATTCAAGATCGTTTTGGAAGAATTTATTTAGAATACTTGGAATTTTCATCATGTGAATTCAAGTGTTAACTGGATAGAAGTTATCAAAAGGTTTCATTGAAGATTCAAATCATTCATCACATTGCATTTATTCAAGATTATTTTTGTGTGATTACTTTGATGAATTCACACCATGGCCATTTGAATTCACATGATGCATTTATTAAAGGAGATATTGAAAAGAGAAATTTGATTCAAAATTGTCATGCATCACAAGAACAAATACATGATGGTTACAACTTCATTACAAGATCAATTCATGTAATTCATTTGGATCTCTAATACAAGATGCAAGATTGAGGTCTTAAGGCTTGCATCATTATTCACTCATTATTCAAAAATTCATTCAAGTATCAATCAATTCCATTCCAAATTCACATGAAGTATTTCAAGTCACATTTAAATTCAAGACATGGTACAATTTTGATAATTCTTCAAATTTCACTCATGATTCATCCAAGTCAAAAAAAAAATTCCATTCATATTCATTCAAGAGGATTACATGTTACAATTTTATTTGGAATTATCACTACATAGTTACAAGAGGAATCACAAGTTTGTACATAAAAAATCAAAACTATAATTCTAATGTCCTAAAGCTTCATGCTTCAAACATGTTTCCCATTTTCCAGTCATGTTTCAACAATAACAATCCAATTTTTGTGGTACTTTTGCTGTCCAAAACAGCAGCCGCAACAGTCCTAATTCTGCAAAAAAATGTTATAAACCAGTACAAAAAACAACAGCCTGCAATGGTCCAAATTCTGCCAGAAAACTGCTATAAATCAGTCTAGAACAGTCTGCTATGCCACTGCTGCCCTGCATCATAACAGCCAAGAGGTTACACCAAAATGGAAACTCAAAATTGTATGAAAAAGCATTGAAACAGAGCATTCATATTTGTTCAAAATCTCTACAATTTTCCCTCTCTTTTCCACTCCAATATGCATATAAAAGGAGACCAAAGACAGCCACCTGAGAGAAATGAAAAAAAAAAGAGAGAATTTGTTCAAGAATCAGAGTTAAAGAAGCTTGAGTATCAACAAAGGGAGGGATAACTTACTCTTTTTGAAGCTCCATAGGAGAGACTCCGATAGGTATATTCCTCTCCATTATATTCTGCATAATCTTCCTTCATACATCAGTGTCCGTTTTGCCCTCTTTGCATCATTTTCTTTATGCCATTTGAATGCTCGATTCATCACAAACTTTATATATATATATATATATATATATATATATATATATATATATATATATATATATATATATATATATATATATATATATATATATATATATATATATATATATATATATATATATATATATATATATATATATATATATATATATATATATATATATATGTATATATGTGTGTGTGTGTGTCTATTCTGAAAATTGTTGTAACTGGTAGATGTTATAAAATGTTAGATAAAAACCAGGAAAAATTACACTGAAAAAAGAAGAAAAAAAACATAAGTGAATAACAGAAACTACAGAAAATTAGAGAAATTATGCATTAATATTTGTTCAACCATCTCCAAAACTCAAAACCAATACTCACCTTTTCCATACACCAAACTATCCCTTCTATAACCTTCCTCCAATAATGCTACTGCTCACACACGACTATTATCTTCCAACATCAACACTATAATTTTACAGCATTCAAAAACAAAAACATTGAATCATAACAAACCGCTCAACTGAATCAAAGAAGAAGAAAAAAACACCTTACCACAGATCCACCATCAATTACAACTATCTCTTCCTCAACCTCTACTACGTCTAACTCACGATAACTTCAACTCACAATCTTTGAAAACCGATTCAACTCTCCATCTTTGTTTTTCACATACCATCCATTCCATGTCCAACAACAATAACGCATCTCCCTCCAATACTCCTTGTACCGCCACTGCTCTCATACTCCTCTCACCATCTTCCATCCATCAACCTCTCATCGTAACTCTTCCATTTCCGCATCTCATACTCACTTCACCCCTAACAACTGCTACCTCCACCTTTACAAACTGTGACCCTGCAAAAGCTTTGTCTGTAATCACCTATAACTATCAATATCACGGAATTAACAAATTCGTTTCATCAACAACACATTCTGAATCGCAGAAAAGATGGAGTAGAAGAGGAAAGATGTAGAGATTAGAGAACATCGTACCTCAAACCGATCTCATTGTCGACTTTGGTTCTGTTGCATATCCAAACTGCTGCACCCAGGCCGCAAGGGAGGAAACAAGGCAGCGGAGGCTTTAGTTTCACCAGTATCATTTGTATGTTTATTTTCTGGTATTTCGCTTCTAAATTCTTTTCTCCTGCTAAAAACCCTACCGAACCTTCAACTCTCGTCTCTAACCTCTTCCACAAAGGCCAGCCGTTGGATATGTGGCTTTATCTTACTGAGAACGAGAAGTTCAATGAATTTGGTAGTGAAACTGCTCTTGTATGGCATGAAACAAATATTCCGCATGTCTTTGGGTACTTGAGAGTACCAGGACTCTTACTTTAAACTTTCCCTCAACTGAGTCTTTGAAGCACAATGGGATATTCACCTGACCCTAGCGAACCAAAATACCAGCCTCAAGCAGCATTTGGAAGGACGCTACCTGTTGTGGTAGACTCGCCAAAGTCCAGAGCAGATAAAAAGAAGAGTTAATTTTGTTGTTATTACCAATTGAAACAGAGAGGATTGTTACTTTTTTTGTTTCAACTTTCAATTATATATTATTGGAAATAATGATAATTTAATCTGAAACATTCTCTTCCCAACAAGAAATTTCGGCGCCTCCTTTTCCAAATTAGCGTTCTAGAAAACTTCCCCATTCCCTCTTAGTAACCTGGATACGGGTTTGGGCCTAGTCCAACCCATTTTACAAGTTTTGTGTTTTTATAATTTTTGATTAAGAGAATATAATGAATTAACAGTTTGGTGTAGAGGCTGAAGCATATAAGTGAAACGTGTGAGGACTTGGGTTCAATACTTGTGTGAAACAACAATGTTTTTTTTAAATTTATTTGTTTCTATAGAATTTTTGGGCTTCAACTCAACCAATTATCTTAAGCCCATTCGAAATTGTCATCTCCACCTCCAATTTTCTATTTCCACACCCTTTTTTTCTTATTAAATAACTTAATTTAATTTTATATTATTAATCTTAGAATAAATTTATTTAAATATAATTTTTAGGATTAATTTAGTTTAGATTAATATTTTTTTATAATAGCTTAGATTTAGATTAGAATTTTATAATTAACGTAATTTGTATTTAAATTAGTTTAGATATAATTTAGTAATTTTAGAGCTTTAATAACTTTAGAATTTTTATTTGTTTTAGATTTAATTTAGTAACCTCAGAATTTTAATTTAGTTTAGATTTAGTTTACTAAGTTTTAAATTTTAATTTAGTTTAGATCTAATTTAGTAATTTTAGAATTATTTTTATATTCTTAGAATTTGTAGTTAGTTTAAAATTATTTTAGTAAGTAATCTTAAATTTTTAATTTAGTTCAAATAACTTCTTTAGATAATTAGTTACATTCTCTTTAATTTGTACTTAAGTATCTCTGTCATTTTAATTTCTCGGTGCCTTTTGATCATTAATCTGTTTCGTTAGATTTATTTTCTTGTGAATTTTCGAATGCTTATATTTTGATGTCCATTTTATTTTTCTCGCTCGATTTAATCCAAGGGAAAGGATTGTCTTGTTGACTTTATGTCATTGTGTGTGTAATACAGTGGGAGAACTGACTTGTTGTTTTGCATTTTATCTCAATTGTTAGGGATAGCAAGAGTCGCCACCAACTTTTCTTTTATCCAATAAAGGAAGGGGTGAAAAGAACATGAAAGACCTTTTGAGATATTTTCTTGAGTTTGTGGGGTAGGTTATGAAAAGGGAATGTGTTAGCACCCATTTCATCCGTAGTTATCTACGGGCTCTTAGTTGCTTGATCACTTTGGAAATGCTTTGTATTAAATGTGTTTGTGATGAGTTTTGAAATTATTTTTGAAAAATGCCTTCGCTTAGGCGAACTTTGTAATGATTATTGTCTCTATAGGAATGTATACAAAGTGTTGACTTTTTGGAAAATATTTCATTTTTGAAAATGTTGGTGTGTTTGAAAGATGTTGTTTTGAAAATGTTGTGAGCAAGAAACTATGAATGTTCTACCACTCAAAAGGTCTTTGTTCTTTTCCTCCCCCTTTAGATATTGCTATCTTACCATTGATTTAGTAAGAAGCCATATCATTGGATATGAAGGGATATGCACGGGTCAATCGTATAGCCATAAAATGCAATGTTATGAGATACCTTAGAATTTTTTTCTTAAGGGTCTAAGATCATTTTGAAGGCAACATTCAAAGCATCATCGAGGGACTATGATCTTATATTTTTGATTGTTTTTACTAAGGTGTCTCACACGCATAACGTGACCATTTTCTCGGGGTAATAAGTGTGGGTTACCCTAGAGGTGCAATTGTGTAAGTGTTTGTTTTCATGCATTTTTGTTCTAAATTAGGGTTTGCTACTTGTTGATTTTAGTCTTGTTATACAAACCCTAATTACTAGCATTGATATTGAAAGCGATAAAATGCGGAAATGTAAAGTTCTACGCTATTACATTATTTGGGGATGGGGTATACAAGTTCACAAATGGGGAATGGAAAGAAATAAAACCCTAATATCTATTACAACCATATTGAATTGAATAATGTACAAGAAACGAATAAATATAATGTACAAGGATATAAATGAAAAAAGAACGGATTTTTTTTTGGATTTTGTTAAGAAAATGATTTTTGATGTAATTAACTAAAAGGAGAATAATCAATTAGAATGAGGAAAATTAAACATAAGTTAATTAAGAAAAGAAATTAATTTGATTAAAGAAACAAGTTTTTTAGGGTTTTGTAAAAAATAGTTTTAATTTAATTAAACTAGTATGAGAAAATTAATTAAAGGAAAACCTAAGTTTTAAATTAATCTTAATTAAAATAAAATGAATATAAACTAAATCTAATTATTAGTCTAATTAATTAAGAAAAAAAGAAATGAGTTTAAAAAGAAAATGTTTTGGTCTTTATTAGTCTAAAAGAATAAGGTAAAAATTGCTAAATACCTAAATAAACAAATAAATGAAAATATTTTTTGGTATTTTAAGTTAGTAAAAAAAATAATAATAATAATAATAATGTTAATAATAATAAAAATAAATAAAATAAAATAAAATAAAATAAATATTGAATTTAGTAAGGTGTAAAAAATAATATAGCGAGTGTGAGAAAAATAGTTTTTGTGTGTTAGAGGCCCAAGGCCTGCTCTTTTTGTTTAATCATGAAATGAAAATAAAAAAATAAAAGGGCCTGCATGTTATGAGTAAACAGGGGGTGAGTTTGAGTAAAAAAACAAGGTCCAAAGACCTTAGGCCCAGGCGCGTTGGCTTATGACAAAAAAGAAGAAAAATAATGAAAACTTGGAAAAAGGGCAGCGCCGGGGCTCGAACCCAGGCCCTTAGCAATAATACTCGCGCGCTCTATCACTGGGGTAGCTATACATCTGTTTACTTATATAAAACCATAAATATATATTTAAAAACCCTTCCTAGGCCTGCACTTCATCTTCTTTCTCGCGCCATGTTTGAACCTGTAACTTTCTCATTTCTCAACAAAAATTAAACTGTAAACATGAAAGTTACTCCATTTTTTCTCACGATTCTAGAAATGTAAATAACTTAGACTATAAATAAAATATGAGCAAGAATTTTGTTGGCCCTAATCTGAACCCTAATTTTTCCAGAAATTTCAAACTCAAAATTCTCTAAGCTCAGGCAATATAAATGAAAATTATTGACATGGTTAGCTTTAGGGCAATGATGTCTACATTTTATCTTTGAAAATGAAATCCTAACAATTCCTACAAAACCGAAAATCGTGAAATGAGTTTGAGCTTGATTCAAGTTGTGTGGATGACCAGATTAGCTTTCTCAAGTCCCTAGGAAGCTAATGAAACTCTTACTTGGTGCTGAGAGTGCTTGAATCGTGTTAGAGAAGTCCAAGTGCAAAGCTCTATTTTTGAAGATGAATGTTGGTGTAAATAGTGTTACAGTCGTGTTGTAGGTGTTTGGATAGCTTCTATATGTGTATTAGAAGCTTTGTGAAAGGTTTGACCAAGAAACGCACGAGTGGATTTGGAGATTGGATTCAAAACTAAAAAATGAAGAGTTTTGAGGTATTTTTGGTGATTATGTGTTTTAGCAAGTTTGAGGGCTTCTCCTTTTGTGTGTTAGCTTGAAAATGATGTATTTTTTATAGGCAATAGGTTTTGTGTGCTACAACAAGTCAAAATTTGAATTATCAAGTTGTAACACCTTTACTTGTTTTGGAAGCAACCATGACAAACATATTCCCAAAGCTTGTACCATGTTATCGTAGAGTGGTTAACACTTTAAACATGGATGTTCTGATTTGTAGATGTTGAGTGTGATCAAAACAAAAAGTGAGAGGCTCAAGACAAGTTGACTTAGTGATTAAAGTCACTTTTCAAGAATGGATATGTTACTTTCTTCCAAAATGGCAAATTGGTTTGGAAAAAGCTTGAAACACTTGGATAAGGGCACACTCAGTTGTGTAAACCATTAACTATGGAGTGATAAACAATTTTGAGGCATGCAAAGTGAATATTATGCAGCATGACTATGGATTTGGTTCATGTTCATCACAAAATTTGCCTTGTAAAACAAGTTTGAAACCCTAACTTCATTGCTTCGATTATCTTAGCTCAAACATGATCTCAATGAGTTCTTGAAAATTTTGGAAAGCTTGAAACATCCTCTACAACTTCTCTTTTGATCATTTTTCCAAAATCAAATTGGAACTATGTGAAACTTGTCCAAGAAGTTAGGTCAAAAATCCGCCTAAACTAGGTCAAAATCT